TCTTACAAAGATTCTGTGAGATGCTATATGTTACCTCCTAATGTAGCACTTGGTAGGTAATAAGCCTTCAGTGAGTTGTCTCTGTATCTGTTCGTTTTAACGTAGTAACAGGAAGTAGAGGAAAAACAATGATAAAGGAAGGAGAAGGGAAATGAGGTTCAGAATCGTGAAGAGTAACCAAGGACTTGCTATGTGCCAGGCGCTTTGCTAAGCTGTTTTTTTCATTTCATTTAATCCTTGCAAAAGTTCTTGGGTCAATGCTGTTACCATTATTCTCATTGTAAAGGGAAATGAGGTTCAGAATCGTGAAGAGTAATGGCCACACCAGTAACCAAGGACTTGCTATGTGCCAGGCTCTTTGCTAAGCTGTTTTTGTTCATTTCATTTAATCCTTGCAGAACTTCTGGGGTCAATGCTGTTACCATTATTCTCATTTCATGGGAGGAAAGGCTGAAACTTAGGGAATAGAACTTGTCCCAGTTCATATAGCTATTGAGTAGCAATTCTAGCTAATAGCTGTTCATTTTACTCTGTGATCTCATGGGTCTTCTTATGCATGAAGATCACTTGGGTGGCTCTGGCCACCTGAATTATGATTCAACTGTAGAGGCAAAATAAACCATCCTAATGTCTTATGGTCTTGAGATTTTCCACCGCTCTGTGTTTGCAGTATAATGTGTTCATCACAGAACACATGAGTGGTGAAATTGTTCATAACAGAAAGGATCAAAACAGTGATGAAGGGGAAAAGTCATAGGTCGCATTTATAGCCCACTTACCATCAGGCAACAGGCTAAGAAGAATAAGAAATGCCTATTAATTTCTTAGAAGTGCTCCCTAAAGGTCTGAGGTAGATACCCCATCACAAATGAAGAAAATAAGTTAACCAATTAGTGCATGGGATTCAAATTCAAAAGGGTCTCATTTGAGTGCCTGCTCTCTTTTTTCTTTCTGCGCTTTAATTTTTTTTTATTTCCTTTATGATAAAATTGACACCCAACCCTTTTTAGTGTACAGTTCTAGGAATTTTAACATATATATATAGATTCATGTAACCATCACCAAAATAACTCCCTTATGTCACAGTTTTTGAAAAGATTGTGTAAAATTGGTGTTTGCTTCATGTATTTTGAAGCTCTGTTATTAAGGGCATATGCATTTAGGATTGTTATATTTTCTTGGTGAATTGATCCTTTTATCATTATGTAATGTCCCCCTTTGTCCCTTGTAATTTTCTTTGCCCTGATGTCTACTTTGGTATTAATACGGCAACTCTAGCTTTCTCTCAATTGGTGTTTGCTTGCATCGTATATCTTGTTCCATCTTTGTTCTTTTAATTATACCAAAATATTTGAAGTGAGTTTATTGTAGATAGCAAATAGTTGTGTCATGCATTTTCATGTATTCTCGTAATTCCTGTCTTTAATTGGTATGGTTAGACCATTTCCATTCAATGTAATTATATGTTTGGAATAAGATCTATGATTGTGTAATGTTTTCTCTGTGTTCCTTTATCCCTGTTCTGTTTCATGCATACTTTGAATTATTTGAATATTTTTTTCAGCATTCCACTTTACCTATTGTGATTTTGACTGTATCTTTGTATAGTTTCTATATGGGGCAGGAACTGATTACTCTAGGGATTGCAATATACATAACTTTTAAGTCTACTTAGAAACAGTATTTGGCCATTTGAAGTGAAATGTGGAAGCCATATCACAATATAGATTCCCCCATTTAAATTATAGTTATCATAGATATTATATATGTATACATTGGAGATAAAAACTATCACTAGACAATATTATAATTTTGCTTGCAACCCACAAATATAGGGTGTCCCAAAAAATGTATACACACTTTAAATCATTATTAACTCCAATTGGTTAAATCTGAAAAGAAAGAAACATCAAATGAACTGTCAGCTGTTAGTGTATAAACATTTTTTAGGGACACCCTGTATATCTCAAAAAACTCAAGAAGAGACAAATAGTCCTATTATATTTATGCAATATTTACCATTTCTGTTGCTCCTTTATTTTCTCCCAGGATAATTTCCCTTCTCTCTGTAGAATTTCCTTTAGCCATTCTTTTAGAGCAGGTTTATCAGAAGCAAAAATCTTAGTGTTAATTCACTTGAGTATGACTTATTGCATATTTGTTCCTGAAGGATATTTTCACTGGATATAGAATTCTGGATTAACAGTTCATTTTTCTCCCAGCAGTTTTTAAACATTGTTCTACTGTCTTATGACCTACATGACTTCTAATGAGAAACCTACATTCATTCAAATTGTCGTCCTCTATAGATACTGTGTTTTCTCTGACTATGCTTTCAAGAATTTTTTTTTCTTCTAATTTTGAACAGTTTGATTATGATGTGTCTGGGCCTGGATTTTAGTTTCTGCTGTTTTGGATTTGCTGAGTGTATTAGTTTCCCGTGGCTACCATTAAAAAAAAATGACCACAAACTCGGTGGTTTAAAACCACAGGAACTTATTTTCTCATAGCTCTGGAGGCTGAAAGTCTAAGATTCAGGACCACACACCCCACGGGGCTGCATTCTTTGGCATGTCACTACATCACTCCATTTTCTGCCTCCGCCTTCACATTGCCGTTTTCTCTAAAAGTCCCACTGCTCGTCTCTTTCAACCTCACTTGTCATTGGAGTCAAGACCCATTTGAATAACACAGGATGATATTGTCATCTCAAAATCTTTAACTTAAATACATCTGCAAAGACCCTTTTTCCAAATAAGGTAACATTCTTAGGTTCCCGGCATTAGGACAAGGTCACATGTTTTTGGGGAGCCATCATTCACCTGACTCTACTGAACTTTTTTTTTTTTTTAATATATTTTATTGATTTTCCACAGAGCGGAAGGGAGAGGGATAGAGAGTTAGAAACATTGATGAGAGAGAAACATCGATCAGCTGCCTCCTGCACACCTCCCACTGGGGATGTGCCCACAACCAAGGTACATGCCCTTGACCCGAATCAAACCCGGGACCCTTCAGTCCGCAGGCCAATGCTCTATCCACTGAGCCAAACCGGTTAGGGCATCTCCTGAACTTCTTGAATCTGTGAGTTTATGTCTATCAACAAAATTGTGAAGTCTTCAGCCCTTATTATTTGAAATACTTAAATTGTTTTATCAACATTACACATTTTCTGCTGTTCTTCTGGAACTCTTGTTGACACCAATCTTAGATCTGTTTCCTTGTCTCATAGATCCCTAGGGTCTGTTCATTGCTTTTCTCACTTTTATTTTTTCCCCTGTTTTTTAGATTGGATAATTTCTATAGATCTATGTTCAAGTTCACTGATTATTTCCTCTGTCATCCTATATGTTGTTGAGTTTGTTCCATAGTTATTGTTAAATTTCAGTTACTGTATTTTTCAATTCTAAAATTACCATTCGACTCCTCATACCTTGTGTTTCTTTGCTGAGGTTTCTATGTTTCTTTTTTTTTTTTCAAGAGTGCAGTTTCTTGTTGAAGCGTTTGTAGTAAGAGCTGCTTTAAAATCTTAGATAATTTCAGCACCTGTGTCCTTCTTATAGCAACTTCTGTCAATCTGGCTTTTCTCTTGCCACTTGAAATGCTTCCAGTTCTTCAAATGCCTAGTAAGTTTGGGTTGTATATTGGACATTTTTAATGTTATGAGATACTTGCTCTTATTTAAATCCTATTGAGAATGTTGATACTTTGATATTAGTAGGCAGACAGCCTTGTTAGTTTCATGCCACCGTTTAACCTGCCCTCTGTATGCCGCGGTTCCCACGCGGCTAAGCTTTGCAGTGCCGTTCAGCTGTCTCACCTGGGCCTCACTCAGTGGTCAGCCTGAGGTCTGGACGGCAGGCTGTGTCCAGTTCTCATTACCTTTGGCATCCTGACTGGGAACTGATCCACAGTTACAGACCAGAGGGTGAGCCCAGGATTTCACAAACAGCTTTGAGTTTGCTTTTCTGAATTTGTCCCTTTGTGGTTTCTCTGATACTTTATCTTCCCAGGACTCCCTTTTTGGCTCTCCAGTCAGAAGCTGGAGGTTTACTGTGCCATGCACTTCCTTCAGTGATACTGTGTCTGGGACCAAATGGCAGACAGAGGGGAAAAAAGAAACAAGGGAGGTTCACCCCATCCTGTTGGGATCACAGTTCTACCTGTTGGAGAGGAAGGTTCCCCTCACTCAGGGTTGTAAACCCCTCCAGGTCCCTGTTACCCATGATGCCACTGCAGCCAGCTTGGGATTGCCTAGGGTTGGGGGTGTGAGAACAGAGAGAAGAGAGGCGGGGGATGGGGGGAGAGATGGGT